TCATTCCACTTTCTGTAAAATGAAAAAAAATAACACTATACACTTGGTGCATTCGAAGCGCTTTTTGGTATTTTCCTTTATCGGGAACGCTTAAATTAATGATACCAAAAGCCATGGATGTTTAAAATCTTGAGGAATTATATGACTGTAACTGTAACAATTTTGTTTTTCTTTTATTGTGGCTCTTTGATGCTCATTTCTTAAACATGGATTTTCATCTTTTCTACATGAGAACGTCTGGACTTCTACAGAAGTCACACTATATATATAAACATTGACATATAATTGTATTATATGGCTCCGATATGAATAAAAGGAGTTGAGGTTCAAAAAGGCCAATGACATAGCAACCCTACCACAAAAATAAAAACAAAAATATATAGAGGGTAGTTATAGATCTGTTTGGTCGAAGCACGTATACAACTACGGTAATTGTAAGATGTAAGGGAAAACATCGAAATATTAAAGTTTTTTTTTTAAATTTTACACATAAAAATGAGAAAAGAACAGCAAGGTCCATGCGCCAGGCGGCGGTGAAATAGTGATGCAATTAAGATTTTTCCAAGTTAAAATTCGCTGGTTCATTCTTTTTTTATTGAAAAGTGACTGTAAATGTGACTTGCTTTTATTTGACAAATTGAAATTGTTCCGTAAACTCCCAATTCATAGCTAATTAGTATGAGTGTACCGGAAGTGAAGGTTTAGAAAGTTATATATTATTACATAATTCAGTCTAAAATAAGTTAAAACCATCATACGGTATTGCTATAACACATGATAACTCCAAAACGGAAATAAGTCACATGAAAAAAGTAACAAACTAAAATTGAGAATGGAAATGGGGAATGAGTCAAAGAGACAACAACCCGACCAGAGAGCAGACAAGCACATTTGGTACATGTATATGTAGTTCAGAAGTCGCAGAAAACATCACTTATCCATGTCGATGTCAAGTTTTTACAACAATACAACAGAAACTAATTATATGGCTTCAGTTTACTAATTTGGCATTGCACCAGTTAATGTTTTTCTCTGAATGTTAATGACGTCTTTACGCTAAATCCATTGGATGTTAGATGTGTACCGTCGGCTGTTTTCTGCTGTTTGGTCGGGTTGTTGTCTCTTTGACACATTCCCCATTTCCATTCTCAATTTTGATTGATATTTTAATCTTAGACACATGATTTTTTATTAGTTATTGGCTTTGAATAAGCTTTCATTAACTGCGAGTACATTGTCATTTTGACGCCTTTTATAGCTTACTATGCTGTATGGGCTTTGCTAAATGTTGAAGGATAACGTTGACCCTGGGTCCGTAGAAATACCACACAGGATCTCCTTAGTGCAATAAGATTAGGATACGCACTAAAGACCTGATGGCATGATATAGTAGGCACAAAGGACGTGGACAATAAAAGTAGACCATGTCTAGATAAATATATAGTTCCAAATATAATCATATCTTTAGTAATATTATTACGAAGTCATTTAATGGTTGTCGACACGTGCCACACTCAATTGATTGTCACCTGTGAGTAATCGATTGACATTCGTGTTCATTCAAGCAGGACCAGTTTTTACGCACGTGCATACAGGTTAAACGTGTATATATTATTTCTGCATGTTCTAGGTTTTTTGTTTAATGGGTCTTTTGTATAAAAAATAAAAATTTGATGTATTTTTTACGCATCGGAAAAGGTAGTTTTTCAGCATTTGTTTGATCTGTTTTCCAAAAAGTTCCATATAAGAAAACAATTAATTAAAATATATCAATAGTTTTTTTTTTTTTTTAATTTTAACGATTTTTAAAGAAAATCTTAAAATAAAATTACATACAAATACAACGTAAAAAATAATTTAACAATAACTTTGAATTATTGAGAATTTAGATATAAAAAGATGTGGTATGAGTGCCAATGAGGCAACTGTCCATCTAAGTCAAAATTTATAAAAGTAAACCATTATAGGTCAAAGTACGGTCTTCAACACGGAGCCTTGGCTCACACCGAACAGCAAGCTATAAAGGGCCCCAAAAACTACCAGTGTAAAACCATTCAAACGGGAAAACCAACGGTCTAATTTATATAAAAAAACGAGAAACGAGAAACACTTATGAACCACATCAACAAACGACAACTACTGAACATCAGATTCCTGACTTAGGACAAGTGCAAACAATTGCAGCTGGTTTAAACGTTTTAATGGTACCAAACCTTCACCCTTATCTGAAACATTAGTGTAACATCACAACATAGAAAAACACACTATAAAATATCAATTGAAATGGCTTAACTCAATCAAAAGACATATTAACACAAGTGAACATACACTGAACAAATAAATTTGATCTATGATACAATGCAAATACAAAATAAATAAACTAAGGGAAGAATAATTAAAGTCACATGTTATACCGCTGTGAAATGTTAAACAATTTAAGAAAAACAATATACTTGAACAAAAATATCAGCCATTTGCAATTACTTTAAACACAGTTAAATAAATATAATTTTGTTGTTAGGTATACGTGTACAGTTCAAATAGAGAAAGGAAATAGTTTTACAAAATAAATAATTTTGATGTTCATAGTACGAAGAAGTGAAAATTTATAGCAATACCAATCATTTACTCCCTTCTGATTTAGATCATTTTTTGGCAAATATTTTATAATCAATCTTCTTGAAGTTTTACATATTGAATACACTGACGGACTTTAAAAACGCAACACTAGATTACGCTGTTTAGTTATCTTTTTCAAATATGCAATTTTTGTAAAATAAATGTATAAACACAAATTTCATACATTATTTTATTGTCTACAAAAAGTTTGCAGTTCGAATGTTGAATTTGTTACGTCATGTTTAATGTTTAAATCATGTGGTAAGACTGAAACCCTGAGTTTTCCCTTATCTATGGATGTTTCGCCATCGAAAACAATGACGGTATGTAACCAACGCCTAAACGATTGACAGAAAGGTCAACTTATTCTGTTGGGCATGTTTAGAGTTCTGATTTGTGTCTTCTGATTTGGGCTCTTTCCCACTCATTACAGTGTGTTTTGGCAATTATGGGGTTTAAACCTTATTCGGGCTATACATGTTTTTCTGCAGTCGATTATTTTGGCATTTCAGTATATGGGAAACATTTATGGCACGAATCAGTCTATCATGGCATTCGACGAATTCATAAGCAGTTGAAGTAAGCATGAATAGTAGTTATATGAGTTTTTTTTCGGTAAAATTATCGAAATATTTTGTATTAAGCTGAGGTCAACCCATGCTTTGCAAATTTTAGTGAGGCGCACGCCCGCCACGCCCCTCCTGGATCCGCCCCTGCACAATGTAGGGTCACGACTTCGTATTTGATAACTTGAAATGCCAATTATAGCTTTTCATGAGCATAGTATTACTCCTTTTCTCCTTGACAACGTCGATGTTCATTTCGGCAATACAGCTTATCGAGCTGTTATATGTTTTCCTATGTGCACCAATTTCGGTCCTTTAATAGCAGACGGTTTCCTTATGAATCACTTTTGATGGCCAAACTCAGTTAAGACTCGTCTAAATTCCAGTGATTTGATAATTAAACTACGCTTACCATTTATTTATATTGATATTTTTCGTTAAATTATTAAGACATTTTCTGAATATACTGCTAAATGGAACTTACTATATCAAATGCAAAGAGCAATTATAGCTGTTCTTTCCTCAATTTAGATATTTCAGTTTCACACGGGAAACTCTACAAAAAGGTAACGACAACAAAGGACGGTTTTGCGTTCCCTATTGTAAATTTAACCTTTTATGGGCGGTGTGTCGCTTATGTTTACATATATATTAAGCTCTTACACAACTGCTCAAGGATAGGGAGAGGGTATGGTGCACACAAACATGTTTAACCCCGCTGCATTCTATATGTAACCATTCCAAGCCTGCCAGGAGCCTGCTATTGAGTGTTTGATACTGTTTATCACATTTGTTTTTTCGTGTATTGTTTTGTACAGTTCTCGTGATTTTGCGCCACTGTCCCATGTTAGGGGAGGGTTGGGAGCCCGCTTGCATGTTTAACCGCAACACATCATGTATGCACGTGTCCCAAGTCTGAAGCCGCTAATTTAGTGGTTGTCGTTTCTTGCTGTATATCATGTTCGATTTTCGTTTATTGTTTTGTAACACCCTATAGCTAGAGTGACTGGGGAATGGAAATATAGTCACTCTAGATTTTGGTCTTCTTCCTACGGTCAGTAAAGCCCTTGTCATAGTATGGCGTCCGTTTGGCTGTGCCGGATGTACAAAAACCAAGCCGCGTCTGGTCAGAATGGGGACGTTAAATCTGATGCCTCGTGTAAGAACCTCTGCAACAAATCTTTTAGGTGGCCTGTTGTAAGGCAAAAGTTCTGTTCCTATTCTTTTCCAGTGGCAGTACAAATTTAGCCGACCTACATCCCGAACGGCCCCCATTACATGACCCACCTATTGTATTTGTTGGTAATTTGTTATCGTCCTGAACAAGCATAAATTATTACCACTGGATGTTAAGCAACCAACAATCATCTATCATATTGTTTTGTACAGACATTAGGCCGTGATTTTTTCTTTTTAATGTTTTTTTAAATGTATCATGTCATGGTTTTTGAACGCTTGCTATGCAGAATTAGTTACTCTCATTTTGGAAGGCTAAACGTACTTCCAATTTATTTGGTATCTGATGGCGAGTTGTCTGAATGATAGTCATACATGTCATACTACATCTTCCTATTTTTATATGAACCTTTTTGATATAATTGATCGACATTGATTTAAAACTCGTCCAATATATTTTTGATATAAATCTTTGATATAAATGTCATACAAATATGGCTAGCGTTGTATGTATGGGGCGTTTACAAGACCGGACAGACGCACGGACAGATGGTATTTCCTTGTTTCCCACATGGTAGAAATAACATATCAATCAGTTAATCATGGTGTTTAATATAAATTTCCTATTTTTTCATTTATTGTCTGCTATGTTATTGAACATTCATCTAAGTCTTATGAATTGTATACACAGTATTTATGTATGACATTAAGATGTTTGCAATTTTTTGTTTTTCAACAATGTTTATGCTTTTTTATAATGCAGCCTGAGGGAACATTGGTTGTTTTACAATGTTTAATAACTGTGTTATTAACCTATAATAAAGTATTGTTTTGTTAAAGTTATTATTTGGTGGATTGGACAAGGTTTTACTGTTCACAGAACCTCCGTCATTCTAGTTTGACCTCCCTTTTTGATGGGAACAAAATTTCTTCTTTAGCATGAAGTCGTGCAAAAACGTGCTATCGCTTTTTATTTTAATAGACAATTGAGTAGTCGTGAAATCTGCACAACATGTAAAAAACATTCTAATAAATCCATGAGATCAATGTAATGTAAAAGACTATTTAAGTTTTTTTCTATTTATAGCACAAAGTACATAATGACAAATGTTACCTCAGATGTCTTATCCATGGGATCCATTCCTTTTTCTTCTATCAACCATTTTGTTACATTTAACTGTCCCCAGTAAGCTGCTACATGTAATGCTGTTTCTCCTTTCTATAATGATATTTAAAATATTATGTTAGTGTTTGATTGTAGATTAATGAATCAGTGTTTGTGTGCAGTGTATGATAAGTGTCTGTCCTTTTCGTAGTAATCATAACTTCTGCAAAACATCTATAGTCAGAAAATAATAATTAGACAGATCTAACCTGAAATATCTTTTCAAAATAGCAAATGCATTTGAGGTGGTTAGCGTTACATCACTGAGGATGTCAATATGAGGTTGTTAGCGTTACATTACTGAGGATGTCAATAACAAATTTTAATAAAAACATGTATAGACGATTGTATATATATATTCTACATAAACAACATAGAAACAATATTCTATAACATCCTAAATGTTTGAATGAAATATAATATATATTCATCATGTGTATATCAATTGATTCAGTGTCATACGAGAACTAACATGATAACTCATTCTATATAGTTCTAAAAATCATTCATTTAGTTGTCAGTTAGATGTGTCTGATAACAAACGAAACCATTCGTCATATAATACTTACAAATATTTCTTGTCCATTTTGCCTATCTTTTAAGAACATATGTTGCTGATTATGTATGTTGATCAATGTTTACAAAAAATGAGACCAAATTTATATAATTCTGACAAGTACAATGCATTTGCTATTTTGAAAAGATATTTCAGGTTAGATCTGTCTAATTATTATTTTCTGACTATAAATGTAATCGCAACTAATCCTCATGAAAATGTCATAACCAATGTATCAATCTTTAAAGAAGTTGGTATAAAACAAATGACTGCATATGGCTGATTATTGCTCAATATGAGGTCGTTAACGTTACATCACTGAGGATGTCAATATGATGTGGTTAACTTTACATCACTGAGGATGTCAATATGAGGTGATTAGCGTTACACCACTGAGGATGTCAATATGAGGTGGTTAACGTTACATCACTGAAGATGTCAATATGAGGTGGTTAACGTTACATTACTGAGGATGTCAATATGAGGTGGTTAGCGTTACATCACTGAGGATGTCAATATGAGGTTGTTAGCGTTACATTACTGAGGATGTCAATAAATATATATATACAGACGGTAAACCTGGCTGATTACTATTACTTGCATTATCATTATAGATAGGAGAAACAGCATTACATTTTTATATATTCACAATCTAAGCACGCTAGAATAAATCAGGAGTTGGATTGTAAACAATCATCATTATCATTGATTTAGGTCAATATAACATTATTGAAGTAGCAAAAACATTTGAAAAATAGTTTGAAAAAAAAAAGAAAAATATAGTAATGTTAAATTGGCACTTTTGTAAGTGCACAATTCCAACATAAATATCCGTGATCACATCGTCATAATTCGGGAACCTATATATTTGTATGTTCAGGACGAGAAAATGTTTATATGATATGAATACAAGCCCTGCTTTATATTAACGTGCAGTTTTACGATGTCATCCTATTTGGACACACATTATTCTAATTTGGAGTTAACCAGTCTTTGCTCTTACTCATAAGTGTCACGTGATTGGTGGAGAAGCAGCAAATATAAATTTTCAAATCTTTGGTTCGAATGGCCAGGGATTGAAACCAAGACCTCCATCCCTTACTCGAGGCGAGCACGCTAATACACGATAAAGAATAAACAACACAAAACAGAGGCAAACATGGTTTAATTCACAAATCCGATTAAGGAACTCTTCACACAACAACCCATTCCCTCCCCCTTGCCAGACACGAATCTTAATACTTTTAAAACTTGACCTATTCGTTTCCACTTTACCTATTTCCTTGTTGCTTTATGTACACGTACAATTATATGAAATTATGATTCTAAAGGGAATTCGTAATATCAACTTTTCTATCATGAGTAATTTGGGTTTTTTTTCACTATCCTAGTTTTCAGGTTTCGGCAAATGATGCTTTTTCAACAATTCTATAACTCAAGGATTTATATTGAACTGCAATACATCATTGTCTACTTACTCACGGGATTGACAGTACATTCCTAATAATACGGAAATTAAAAAATATCCATTTTAGAATAAGCTTTTTATAAAATGATAGCTGTTTATGTAAGGGTATGGGTCAGTTTAGCAACAAACAAATATTAAAACAAAAAACAAATCTAGAGGGCAACAATAGACGGAGGCCTTTACAACATGTCAAAGTCTAACTCTATCCGAGACTATACAACTTGTGAATATATTTATAATGTATTATCAAAGATCTGCCACCGTCAACACGTGTCACTTATGGCAAGCACAGCAAATTCAATGACAAAGTTCCAGAATTGGGACAAGCACATGAACATATCTTTTTATATAGCACACCCCTTTTTATATCTAATCAGTAGATTGATTAAGAGAATGATTGATTGTTGTTTGCTTAACGTCCAGTAGCAAACATTTCATGCATGTTTAGGACGAGAACAAATTAACAATACATACAATAGATAGGTCCTGTAATAAGATAAAAATAACATGATGTGGTATAATTGCCAATGAGACAACTCTCCTCCAGATAAAAGTTTACAACTATAGACCGTCCTGGGTGAAGGTCGGGGAAATTTGGACTGCCATTGGAAAAAAGTGAAATAACAAAATAGCAGATTACAAAAAAAACACACAAGTACAAACAAATGAATTATAAATAATACCTTATTCAAGAATTTAAATTCTCCTCCAACTTTTTCTAGTAAGAATATTTAACGATGGTATAAAAAAAATACTGCTTTTCACGTTTTGATTATACATGAAGTGAAACATTTGACACCTTTAAAAACAAGCTTTAAGATGGATTAAAGACTCAATATGCCGGGATGGGTAGAATTTTTCTTAAACTGCAATAGAGAATGGATAATGATATATTGTACTGTATTTTTTTTTACTGTAATCCAAAATCCCCTTTTTCAATAACACACAGGAAGATTTCTTTTTTTTAAACTCAACGTTGCACTATTTTTTCTATTTTTTAAAGTTACAGATGAGTTGCTTTAATCCATTTACAAGAATGCATAACCGTGTTCATTTACTTCTTGTAAATGGATTAAAGCAACTCAAATGCAACGTATGATCTTAAACAATGATCAAACACCATACCATCCTGTAAGCTTTAAAAGGCCCCGACATTACAAAATGTCAACGAAAAAACCAAGAGACGGATTTATGCTACACCATAAACGAAAACATGAATATGTGGCAGACAGCAAATAACGAATTACAAGCTCCTGACTTGAAAAATCCTACGGCACTGTAGCGCTCTTCCACCCTCAATGCCTCGAAAAAACGCAGTTCAAAATAATAGAATCCTAATGGAGCTGTCATTGATTGATTTACAGATTGACTAATTGATTGATTTACAGATTGACTAATTGATTGATTTATCGGTTGACTAATTGATTGATTTACAGATTGATTAATTGATTGATTTACAGATTGATTAATTGATTGATTTACAGATTGACTAATTGATTGATTTACAGATTGACTAATTGATTGATTTACAGATTGACTAATTGATTGATTTACAGGTTGACTAATTGATTGATTTACAGATTGATTAATTGATTGATTTACAGATTGACTAATTGATTGATTTACATATTTACAGATTGACTAATTGATTGATTTACAGATTGACTAATTGATTGATTTACAGATTGATTAATTGATTGATTTACACATTGACTAATTGATTGATTTACAGATTGACTAATTAATTGATTTACAGATTGACTAATTGATTGATTTATCGGTTGACTAATTGATTGATTTACAGATTGATTAATTGATTGATTTACAGATTGACTAATTGATTGATTTACAGATTGACTAATTGATTGATTTACAGGTTGACTAATTGATTGATTTACGGGTTGACTAATTGATTGATTTACAGATTGATTAATTGATTGATTTACAGATTGACTAATTGATTGATTTACAGATTGACTAATTGATTGATTCTAATGAGAGGTTAAATATATAATACTATTAGTTTTCATATATATGCTACCATCAACAAAAGTCGAATGAAAATTTATCATTCTCTAATTTTCGTTTGTATTAGACGTGTTTAAACACTACGCTGATGTTAAATAACAATATCGATACAAGATTTAAGTGTGGATTTCTTTGTCAGAATTCAGTTGCATTGAAAGGTATCAAGGCGTAGCATAGTATAATTTTATGGCAAATTACTAAGCAGGCCTTGCAAAAGGTGCAAATAAATATGCCGTTTTCAAAATATCCTCCTGACCCAAAGATAACAAAATAAACTTCTACTTATGAAACTTAACGCCACTTTCAACAATATTTAAGTAATATCGGAGTCTAGTTTTATTGGTGGAGGAAACTGTGATACCATGAAAAAAACCAGCAATCCCTCACAGAAGCGTAAATTTTACACTTTGCCAGAATAGTGCCCGAATGTGGTAATCTTTTAAAACTTAATTTCGATAATAACAGACTTCCAGGTGTCCAAGCACTCCTTTTGTGTTGGATGGGATTGTCCTTGTGAATAATACTGTTGTAAATATGTTAGTGACACATTTCTGTCAATTCCGATAGCGAGTGTATACGGACCTACCTACCTACTTACCCACCTACCTACCTACATACCTACCTACCCACCTACCTACAATGTACCTACCTACCTACCTCATACATACATACATACATACATACATACATACATACATACATACATACATACATACATACATACATACATACATACATACATACATACATACATACATACATACATACATACATACATACATACATACATACATACATACATACATACATACATACATACATACATACATACATACATACATACATACATACATACATACATACATACATACATACATACATACATACATACATACATACATACATACATACATACATACATACATACATACATACATACATACATACATACATACATACATACATACATACATACATACATACATACATACATACATACAT